ACATGCAGCACATGCACACATACACAATAAATAAATGTAGTAAAAAAAAATTAAAAGTCTTTTCTTCGCACCAGTAATTTTTTTCTTAATCACTTTAAAAAATTATTTTATTTATTTTGTGTGTATAAGTGTATTGCCTGCCTGTAAGTAAGTGCAGCAGTGTCATGCAATGCCCACAGAGGACAGAAGAGGATGTCAGATTTCCTGGAACTGGAATTGAAGATAGTTGTTAGCCGCCCTGGTCCTCTGCAAGAGCAGCCAGTGCTCTTAACCCCTGACCCATCTTTCCAGACCTTCTTAATCACTTTTTATTCCTTGGTGGATTTTGGTTTCTGAAAACCTTTCAGCATTTTTTAGGAGCCAGGTTACTTTGGTTTCCTTTCTTGTACTAATCTTTATTGTAATTATTAATATACATTAATTGCACATATTAATAGGTCTGTGACATTTCCATATATGTAGATTTTGTGCTCTACATGCCTTTCCTCCTAAGCTGTCTTGCTCCTCCTCACTCTGCTTTCCCTTCCCTAATGGTCTCTCTTTAGACAAAGAATGCCATGTTTGTCTATCTCTGCCTTATTTTGCTCAACATGACATGATCCCCCCAGTTCCATCAACCTTCCTGGAAATTACAGAATTTGTTTTTGAGACAGGGTCTCTTCTGTAGTCCCAGCAGGCCTGGTATTATGTAGACCAGGCTAGTCTTGGTATCACAGAGACCCACCTGACTCTGCCTCCTGAGAATGCTGGGATTAAAGGGATGTACCACCATGCCCAGCCACAATTTCATTCTTCTTTGTGACTAATACTTCATTATGCATATACATCATATTATCCTTAACAGGGCTGCATGCATCAGTCATCTTTATTCTGATAAATTCTCAAGTTAAATTCTAGCACGTGAACAAAAATGTTCATAATACAATAATAGCAATAATTTTAAAAAGAACTAAAAGTAATGTTAACAGTCAATATGTATTTGCTAAGTACACTCATTTGATAAACTGTCATACAGCCAATGAAAAGTAGCAATAAAGTCAGGTGTGGTGGGGCACACTTGTAACCCCTAGCACTTGGGGCTACGTAGCAAATTTCAAGTCAAGTCTGAGCTACATAGCCAGACACTGTCTCAAAGAGCAAAAATGGAACAGGACCAGTAGGATGACACAGCAAGTGAAGGCACTTGCTGCCACACCTGATGACTCCAGTGTGATCCCTTGGACCCACATGTCCTTTGACCTGTGTATGTGAACACACACAAAATAAATGTGATTTAAAAATTGGAAATAAAATCCCCAAACAATAAATTAGAAACAAAAATGTGTGTTCTGAAGTGAGGGGGAACAAAATTATTTAAGTTTGATTATATAAAAATTGTGGCATAGTAGGCACATGACTTTGTAATCAGAAACTCAAGAGGATCAGAAGTTCAAGATCAACTTCAGGTACATAGTGAATTGGAGGCCAGGAAGTATATATAATGTGAAACTTCATAAATTAGGGATAAACTTTAGTTCGGGAAGCACATCTAACATTCCACAGTGTTTGGCACAATGGTACTATGACCTATAGGTGGATGTCATACAGGATATACTCAACTACTTACTGAAAAAATACCCTCCCAAACAAATCAGATAATAATAGTCTTTCTGGATTATGTTACAATCTTGTTATGAATCTGGTTAGAATGAAATAGACTAATAAAAACTTTGAAGGGGGTCTAGATGGACAGCTCAGTGGTTAAGGGCACTGGCTGCTCTTGTAGAGGACCCGGCAACCACGTGGCAGCTAACAACTATCTTTAACTCCAGTTCTAGGGGATCTGATGCCCTCTTCTGGCCTCCTCAGGCATTTCATGAAAGCAAAACTCATACAGATAAAAAAAATTGAAGGAAAACAAAAACAAAAACCCGCCAACCTTCCAGACCCCCAAACCTCAAGGGGGATGAGGCAGCGCTGCTAAGGTGCTGAATGGGTACAGCATTTGCTTCACAAGTGTGAGGACCTGAGTTTGAATCCCCAGAACTCACATAAAGCCAGGTAGAACAGTGAACACCTGTAATCCCAGGGCTTCTGTGGTGAAATGAGAAGAGATAGGAGACCCCTCCAGAAGCTCTTCAGTCAGCTAGCACAGCATACGCAACAGTGTTGCAGGAGGTGGTGGTGCAGCCTTTGATCCCAGCACTTGGATGACAGGGCCAGGTGAATCTCTGAGTTCAAGGCCAGCCTGGTCTACATAGTTCCAGGCCAGCTGGGGCTACAGGGAGATCCTGTCTCAAGGAGGGGGCGGGGGAGGGGGGGGAGAGAGAGAGGGGGGTCTGAAATAAGGTGAGAGAGAGACTCGTCTCAAATAAGGTGAGAAATTTGTCTCAAATTGGGAGGGAGGGAGACTTGTCTCAAAATAAGGTGAGGAATAACTCTTAGGTTATCTTCTGATCTCTACACAAGCTTTATAATATGCCTGTGTTGCATGCTTTGCACATATACTTTAATTAGGTGTCACTTCACCTGTAAATCATATGGTTAATAAACTACACACCTGGATGCTGTCTTGCCTTTAAGGAAGCATTTATCACTGGGCCCAAAACCTCTTGCTTTCTGGAAGCAAAGCTTGTGAGGATTTTACTAGTGTAGAGTAGGGAAGAGGACCTTGTAAACAAACAAACAAACAAACAAACAAACAAACAAAAACCCACGTGCCCCTTGAAGATCTGGATGGGCATAGTTATCTTTTGGGAGCTGATAGAAAAAGCTATAAAACTGGGACTCTGGTGACAGTGTCACAATCTATAAACTTAACAAAAACCTCTGAACTAAAATTACTGAGTAGATTTTGTGGTATATAAGCTATCACTCGATACAGCTACTTTTTAAAAAAAAATTTTGGTCTTTTTGAGACAGGGTCTCCCCATAGCCCCAGCTGGCCTGGAACTCACTACTTAGACCAGGCTGGCCTTGAACTCACAGAGATCTGCCTGCCTCTGTCTCCCGAGTGCTGGGACTAAAGGTGTATGCTACCACACCTGGCTCAATACAGCTGCTTTAAAAAAAGTCTAAATTTATTTAGAGTGTGTGTGTGTATACTGAGCTCAGGTTTTCAGGCTTGGCAGCAAGTGCCTTTATCTACTGAGTCACCTGGCTTGTCTTAAAGCTACTTTTAAAAAAGGATGGGGGGGGGGGGGCGGCAGCTGGAGAGATGGCTTAGTGGTTAAGAGAACTGGCTACTCTTGCAGAGGACCCAGGTTCGGTCTCCAGCACCCACATGGTGGGTAGCAACCATCTGTTTAACTCCAGTTCCAGGGGATCTGACATCTTCTCCGACCTTCACAGGCACTGCATGACAAGGGTGCACTTACATACATGCAGGCAATATCCTCCTACATATAAAATTAAATTTAAAAAAAAAGGATTTGAGTTGGGGTTTACTAAAATACATTACAAACAGTGCTGGCCTAAATCAAACTAGGAGCAGCACAAAATACAGAGAAACAGACGGAATAAAGGGAAGCTGATGACATGCACCTTGGCCAGTGGTCTTTCCCCAGTACTCAAGTATCTAACCATTTCAGAGATTTTGAAGGACTTCTCACTCACTCTCTCCACTCAACCTAAGAAGTAAAAATATGAGCACAAACAAACAGCCTGGCAAGGTAACATGCTACTCAAAAGTTCCATCAATGCTGTTGGCAAGGGGGGAGACAACAGATCCATTCTCTACATTATGATTCTCACAGACTTAAATCTGACTGTGGAAGGCCACCCACTAGATCCATCTATACACCCCCACACACACACCCCAGGATGGACATATGAATTTTAACAAGTACAGAAACATAAACTCTCTTTTGGAATCATCGGAAGATACCACAGGTGGAGGAATCACAGATCACGTCAAGTCCTATACTTTCCTATCTTCCAGAGGATCCAAAGGCCCACATGACCCACTAACCCAACTGTAGCCTCTAACTCCTTCAATTCTTGTAGGAAAAAGTCTTACAGAAAAATTACAGGAATTAACTTTAAATGGACTCCTAAAACGAACAGGCTTGGCACTAGCTTTCAAAGGGAAATATACATCATATTAGTGCATTTATAAGCCAGAAGGCACTACCGAAACAGACACATTCTAGTGATGTGACTCCCATTAAAATGCTCATTTTTTTAAGGGTTCCACTTTCTCCCACCGGACCGAGGCTTGTATTTTGGTGTTCTGTTTTTACAGAAGTATCATTTCTCCATCAAACGCCGTTCCGCAAGATAGATACAGATTTTGCTTTGATTTTGACACTATGATTCAAATGTGACTGGAAGTTTTAAAGGTCTAGTTAAGCTACTTAAACTTGGGGTAAACACGTTTACTACTACAAAATAGTATTAGGCAGACCTAGAACTCTAAGTAACAAAAAGTATTGTACATGAGTCTTGAATATATTAAATCTCTACCGCTTATGAATAATTCATATGATTCTGGAAATTATTATTTACGTATTCAATTCTATTTATGGTAGAAGAATTACCATGCTCAACTTTTACTGAACAGCACATACCATTCTGCAACACAAAGAAAAGCGCTCTTAGGCATCAAACACAGGAAAACATGAACTTAATTATCCTTTGGCTTTCAGTAACCCGAAAAATTCCCGTTTCAAAACCAACCTCATTCTTCAGGCCTGAAAGGAAGAACTTCCATCACTGAGAACAAAACGGAGCCCGTCCAGAAACCCGCGGAGGCAGAACGCCGCGAGAGAGGAGCCCTCCGACCGGGTTGTGCGTTCTCCCGGGTGACATCATTTCACATGCGTCTCGGCTAACCCGGGAATGAGAGCCGCCCCTCCGCCAGGCAGCGAAGGCCGACTCCCCGCCGTCGCGGGAACAAAGAACGCCGGGCTGCCGGGCTGCGGCTGCTGCTCTGCCCGGCCCGGGCGCTAGGCGGCGGGCTCTCAGGCTCCCGCGGCCAGTCCCGCCCTCCCGCGGGAGCCAACAACCGCCGCGGCTAGTACCTGGGAGGGGAGGCTCCGCCGTGCGGGGATGCTCCTGCCGCTCCGGGCCGGGCCGCCGCCTCCTACTGTGACCGCTCGGCCCGCCGGCGGCCAGCTCGCCAGCTCCGTCGTCGCAGGGCCTCCTCACTCCCGGAACCTGGTCTCCGACAGAGGCGCTGTCACGGCGCTTCCTTCCTCCTGGCACCATCACACGTACCTCGCCCGGAAACTACGGCTACACGCCCAGAGCTGACAGTCGGTTAACGCCGCGGAGGCCCCATCCTTTCAGCCCAGCGTCCCAAAGGCCCGGCCCCGCAAGCTGCACAAGGGCCCCGCCCCGTCGGCGCACTGGCAGGCAGGCGACGCCCCCTGCCACTAGGCCTGGAGGTGCCCGCCCCGCCCCTCGCCAGCACCAACCTAGCCCGCCAGGCGCGCGAGACTGCCAGAGCGCTCCGCTCCGCTCCTTTCTCCGCCCGCCAAGCCCGCTTTGTTTCCACCCTGCGGGGGCGGGGCCGTGCGTCCAGGCGCGCAGCTCGAGCCAGTTCCGGCAACAGAGCCCGCGGCGCAGTAGCCCTGCGCAGCCCCGCCCCTGCGCTCGGCCCACGGCTCCGCCCGCTGGGAGGGCAGCACCGCCCAAGCTGTTCCCTGCCTGCTACCCCAAACTCAGCGAGCTGCAAGCAGCAGCACGGAAACCTCGCATTTATTTATGTGGCAGGACTTTTACTACTAGAGAGGAGGTTCTTACACTGGAACAAGGTGTGTCCAACTCGGCGTACCCTCAGGACGAGTCACTCTAACCGTGCTGAGGGCTTTGACATAAGCTCTGAGGCTAAAGCCGGCCTGGTTCCTGACTGTGTTCAACACCCAATAGAGGAAGTAGGACTATAAATGCCTAAGAAATACAAGAAAAAGATAGTCAAATGCCATTGGAAATTATGGAGGCAGTGGACTTTTTAAAGCAGAAGTTACGTAATTCTTACGAAGGTGGCCGACATGTTTCAAAGGTGGTCGAGCGAAATTACAAAGTGAGCAGAAAATCCAGACTCAGTCGGGCTGTGGAGAGTTCCAGGCCAGCCTGGTTTACAGTATTGAGACCCACTGTGCAAAAATCAAAATGGAGGCTGGATGAGAAAGAGAGGCGAAGAGAGGGAAAGAGGAGGGGGCAAAAGAAGAGAGGAAGGCAAGCAAGTCCAGACTGTCATTTTTTGGATAGTGCATAAACCTTTCTTTGGGCCTCAGCTACCTCTGGACATTTATTAGCAGTATCAAACTGAGCACCACTGCTCTATTGTGACTCTTAACTCCAAGGCCCACAGGGTAGGTGCTTAGCAACTGCTGAATCAAAGTCCCAGTGACAATTCTAACACAAAGGGAAGCTGGAATGAGATAAGCCCCAGTGCAATATCTTCTCACCCTAGTCCTATACTCCCATCATGTGGTCTATTATTTATCGAGGTCTCCCCCAAAGTCTCAGCTAGTCTTCCAAAGCAGCCAATTTGGAGATGATTGAAAAACTTCAATTTTACATATCACAACTCAAAATCTCAAGCCTTTGGATGCAAGTAATGGATGCAGTTTCTTCTCTAAAGGATTTTTTTTTTTTTTTTTTTTTGAGAAAGGTTCTCCCTGTAGCCCCAGCTGGCCTGTAACTCTCCTGGAACTTGCTATGTAGACCAGGCTGGCCTCAATCTCACAGGAATCTGCCTGCCTCTAAGATTAAAGGTGTAGACAATCGCCAGGCTGTCTAAATGATTTCTTAACCTCTCATACTGGTATAAACCCAATGCGCAGGCATGCTTTGACCATAGTAACCTAATGTAGAAGGGCTTGAATTGTAGAATTGTATCTAAGTAGCTGTTCAACAGTAATCCTGCTACAAGTTGGGTTTTTGGTTTTTTTTTTTTCCCCCCCTGGTCTTTGTGAGGATCTTCCTGTAGCCCCAGCTGGCCAGCTAGTTTTATTTGGTGTGTGTATGGCTGCCCCCAAAGGCAGAAAGTCTGTTGGAGAGCTAGTAATTTTCCCCAATGAGAATGTTCAGTATCTGCAACATTCCAAAGGTAATCAGCTAGTTCCATGTAGGTAGGACAACTTATGACTTAACAAGATCAGTTATGAAGTTGTATACTCAGCATTTGAAATTGTTGCTATGGCAAGAGCTTTGTGAGAACAACTTCAGGGCTGCCTTCAGGGCTGCTTTTGCCTGGTTTCCTTGACAGGTGAAAATTGTGAATGACTACTAAAAACTGTTCTTAAGTAAAAAGTCATTTAAGTTTCTTTCTAAAATAATGTAACAAATCACTGCTAACCAAACAGGAAAATAATGAAGTACCTTCATACTGGGTCTGATAGTCACTGAGATTTTCTATTCAAGTGAGCTACCATTCTAATCCACAGGAATAACAGCAGTCATCACAAAACCTGATCTAGTAGGCATCAACCAGTACACAGGAACTGCAGAGGATTTTAGAGCTGATTGCCAAGCGAGAAAGTTCACGACATTCCAATTCTAAATCTTGCCTTCTTATTTACTCAAAGATTGACTCTAAAATTTTTCCTCTCTTTTTTATGCCACCATATTTTTTTCTCTTTACTGGAACATTACTAACAGAACACACGAAAACGCCATTCATTTTCCCCACCTGTAAGTTTTTAACTATAGCTAGTGGTTTGGGGTTAACCTGGTATGCTACTTAAATCTTCCGGGCTGGAGGTGTAGCACAGTGGTAGAGCATTTGCCTAACATTGTTAAGGCCTTGGGTTGGATCCTCAACATACCCACACCCACCTAACCTCTTTTTCTGCACTTGAATCATTAAGATATTTTCTAAGAGATTTGCATTTTCCTTTTCACATTTATATCTATATATGACCTAGAACTGATCAAGTTAGTGAATGGTATATACCTGTAATCCCAGCACTTGAGAGGCCAAGGCAAAAACATTTAGGAATTCAAGACCAGGGGCTAGACAGATGGCTCAGGAGTTAAGGACACTTGCTGCTCTTGTACAGGACCCTGGTTTGGTTCCCAACATACACATGGTTGCCCACAAATGGTCATTACTTCAGTTCAAGGGGATCTGATGCCTTTTCTGGCCTCCGTGGGCACCAGGCACACATGTGGTACACATATATACACATTTATACACAGAATAAAAATCTTAAAAAAAAATTTGGGGCTGGAGAGATGGCTCAGCAGTTAAGAACACTGGCTGTTCTTGCAGAGGTTCTGGGTTTAGTTCCCAGCACCCACATGGTGACTAACAACCATCCTTAACTCCAGTTCCAGGGGATCTGACACCCTTTTTTGGCCTCCAAGTGCACTGCACAACATGGGTCCCCTTACATGCATGCAGGCAAAACACTCATACATATAAAAGATAAATTAATAAAAATATTTAATAAATAAAAACTTGGGGCTGGAGAGATGGCTCAGCGGTTAAGAGCACTGACTGCTCTTGCACAAGACCCGAGTTTGATTCCCAACATCCACATGGCGGCTACGCACTGTCCTTAAAACTCCAGTTCAGAGGAATCTGAAGCTCTCTTCTGACCTCTCCAACATTGCACGACACAGTGCACTCACATACATGCAGGCAATACACTCATACACAAAAAATAAAAATAATAAAATATTAAAAAAAAATAACTTTATTGCCCATGTAAACACTTATTTAACACCGTATCACATACTGAAAAGCCTGGATTTCTAACTGAGCCTCTGTTAAAAATCAAGTTTGGATTTAGTTTCTGGGTTCAGTGATCTATTCTACTGTTTTATTCTTTGTTTTTTTAAGACAGGGTCTCTCTGTAGTGCCAGCTGACCTGGAATTCACTATGTAGACCAAGCTGGTCTCAATCAGCATGCACCACCATGTCCAATTGTTTTATTCCTGTGCTAACATCATACTTCATAATTATTGTGGCTTTAAAAAGGCTTCTTTTTACCTGTTAAAACAAGTCATCTTTTCTTCCTTTCAAAAGCACTTTGTTCTTTGAATTTCCATTAAATTTTAATAAGAATTCTGAAGAAAAAGGAAGAATAGAGGGAAAGAAAAAGAATAAGTAAACATACCAGGATTTTAAGTGCAATGTCATTGAATCTAGAGAGGAATGGAAGATTCACAACTGTGTCTTCCCATGTCTGGCCTTCTATTTATTCAACTCTTACATTTTTTCAATAGAGTTTCATGATATTCTGCAATTATCCTGCAATATAGTTCTTAGGTTTATTACAGTTTTTAACAAAATTGTTATTAAAATAGTTTGCATCAAATTGAGTTTTTAATACACAATCCTGTTTAAATTCTATACATTTAGCAGAGAACAACTGCTCAATCTTTTCTTCCCCATATACATTCATTTGAGTTTCTTAACTGCAGTAGCTAGCAGCTCTCATACAAAATTAAACAGATATGGTAAGGGCAGTTGTGTTTTTCTTGTTACATAGCTCCACTAGAAAACATTAAGTATCAAGTTTGCAGGGTTTGGTTTTTAGTAGATCCCTTTAGCAAATTAAGGAGGTCTCTTCTACTTTGCTAAAGTCCATGTAAATGGTTTTTAATTTTGTCAAAATTTTCTTTGTATTCTGTATAATTTTTCTGTTAATGTTTAAATTAGATTTGGTTGGGTTTTGGTTACTAAAGCAATTTAATTTGCTAATAAATTCATTTTGGTCTTACTGTTTTGTCCTTTTAAAATATGGGTAGGTGGGGCTGGAGAGATGGCTCAGCAGTTAAGAACACTGGTTGTTCTTGCAGAAGACCCAGGTTCAAATCCCAGCACCCACATGGTAGCTAACAACTGTCCGTAACTCTAGTTCCAGGGGATCTGATAGACTCTTCTGTCTTCTGTGGGCATTACACGACACAGGTGCACTTACCTACATGCAGGCAATACACATGTACACATAAAATAAAAATAATAAATAAATTTTAAAAAATAATAAAATAAAATACAGGTAGGGAGCTGGAAAGATGGCTCAGCAGTTAAGAGCACTGATTGCTCCTGCAGAGGACCCAGGTTCCACTGCCAGCACCCACATGGCAGCTAGCAACCACAAATAACTTCAGTTCCAGGGGATCTGATGCCCTCTTCTGACCTCCGAGGGCACTGTACAACACAGGTGCACTTACATGCAGACAATACACTCATACACATAATAAAAAAAATTAAGTAAATAAGAATTTTAAAATACTAGTGGACATAGTTTACTATCTATTTTGTTTAGGACTTTTTAATGTTTGTGTTCTTGTAGATACTTAGCTATAATTGTCCATGTTGGTTTTTATTACAAAGATTTTTGCCAGCCTTAAAAATTATCAGGGTTCACCGGGCATGGTGGTGCATACCTGTAATCCCTGCACTTGGGAGGCAGAGGCAGGTGGATCTCTGTGACTTCAAGGCCAGCCTGCTCTACATAGTGAGTTCCAGGACAGCTGGGGCTTATAGGGAGACCCTGGTTCAAAAAGACCAA